AAAGACTTGAATGTAAGACCTGAAACTGTGAAACTTCTACAGGGAAATATAGGCAGTAAACTCTTCGACATCAGTCTTAGCAGCATATTTTCAAGCACCATGTCTGACCGGGCAAGAGAAACAATAGAAAAAATAAACAAATGGGACTACATCAGACTAAAAAGCTTCTGCACAGCAAAGGAAACCATCAGCAAAACGAAAAGACACCCTAATAATTGGGAGATGAAATTTGCAAACCATATATCCGAAAAGGGGTTAATATCTAAAGTATATAAAGAACTCATACATCTCAACAAGAAAAAACCTAACAACCCAATTAAAAAATGGGCAAAAGATCTGAACAGACAATTCTCCAAAGAAGATATACAGAAGGCCAATAGGCACATGAAAAGATGTTCAACATCATTAACTATCAGGGAAATGCAAATCAAAACTACAATGAGATATCACCTCACGCCCATCTGAATGGCTGTAATTAACAAGACAGGAAACAACAAGTGTTAGAGAGGATGTGGAGAGAAAGGAACTTTCACACATTGCTGGTGGGAGTGCAGACCGGTATAGCCACTATGGAAAACAGTATGGAGATTCCTCAAAAAATTAAGAATAGATAGAACTCCCATATGATCCAGCTATTCCACTGCTGGCTATTTATCCAAAGAACATGAAAACACAAATGCGTAAAGATACATGCACCCCTTTGTTCATTGCAGCATTATTCACAATAGCCAAGACTTGGAAGCAAATCTAAGTGCCCATCAAGGGATGAACAAATAAAGAAGATGTCGTATATATACACAACGGAATACTACTCAGCCATAAGAAACGATGAAATCCAGACATTTGTGACAACATGGACGGGCCTTGAGGGTATTATGCTAAGCGAAATAAGTCAGAGGGAGAAATACAAATACTGTATGATCTCACTCATAAGTAGAAGATAAAAACAACAACAAACACACACATAGAGGCAGATATTGGATTGGTTGTTATCAGAGAGGAAAGGGGGAGGGAGAAGGGCCAAAGTGTGATTAGGCAGGTGTGTGGTGATGGATTGTAATTAAGTCTTTGGGTGGTGAACGTGTTGTAAGCTACACAGAAATCAAAATATAATAATGTACACCTGAAATTTATATAATGTTATAAACCACTGTTACTGCAAGACAAAACAAAGAATATACAATAAAAAAAAACTATCTAAGCTTAAAGAACTCCTTTTTGTGTTAAAAATAGCATAGTTGATTACCTCACTCTAAACTAAAATTAGTTTAGATTGTTTCATCACCACAGAAAAAGCATATCAAATAAGAATGGATAAAAGTGACAACAAAGGAAGAGACTTGTAGACCTGAAGATGAATTTTGTTCATTTTCTATCTCATCGAAACTCCTGGTTCTCCGGTACTTGTGTGATTAAGCACACTGATCATTTCTTCGCACAGACAATATTTCTAAGTTATCTGCACCAAGAAGATAATTTTGGGAAATGTATTTATAAAACTCTGCATGTGATAGGACTCACCAGTAGTTTGATCAACAGATGACATTTATTTCCACTACAACAGCGCAAAGGTTCTCAACCTTTAAAGTTCATAAGAACTACCTGGAGGCCTTGTTAAAATACAGATTTCTAGGCTCCAATGCCAGAGTTTCTAACTCAGTAGGTTGGGTTGGGGCCTGAGGATTTGCATTTTTAAAGAAGTACTCAGGTGATGCTGATGCTGCTGGTCTGGGGAACACATTCTGAGAAGCACTGCACCAGCAAATGCTCCTGACTTCAGGGGTGGATTCCCTTTGGCTTTGGGACGTGAGTGTTCAGTTCAAATGTTTTCATTTCTTTACTTCATACAATGGGCTGCACACTCCTTTCTTGCTCCAGCCTCCTCCCCTCTGACTGTTCTATACCTAAACATCTATCACGGATCCTCCTTTTGTGAATACTGGAAAAAATAATTCTTTCCCATTAAAGTAAGTACCTTCTGTCCATAAATTATCTTTTCCCTAAAGGTCTAAGACTATGTGGTCTATATGTAATTAATAAAAGAAAAACACATTTGGATTTCTTTTCACTTATTGTACTCTCTCCTCTATTCACATTTTATATCCATTACTTTTCAATGTATCTGGTACTGCAAAGTACCAGATGTACCTCATTCAGCTCTTTTGTTCAATAATGTTTATTAAATTTTCTACTTCCCAGTTTATCTGAACTTGCTTTTATTTTAAGAACAAGTGTATTTATGACAAGAGCACACTTAAACTTTTGGGATGCAGAGGATTATTAACCAATCAGTAACTGCATTTCATTTCTCTATCCTTTAAAGGTATTAAGAGATTTTCACTAAGCACTGCATCATAGAGAAGGCACATGAGATATATCTGGTGAGAGCACCTTTTATTGGGTGAACTCAAAGTTTATTTTTATTGAGTTAAATCAAATTCATATAGGAAATGTTAATGAGCTAAAAGATTTGCCCAAAGTACATGAATCTTGGGCAAAAACCATGGAGTTTGATTCTCAGCCTAAAAGCCAAGAATTCAGGAAATATTTCTATTTCTGTAGTTCTTATTTAAATCTTCATTTTCCTTTTATTACTTTGACCCCCAAAATAAGTACTCTTTACAAGATTCCTATTTTACATCAATTTGGGCTTTCTTTAATTATAAATTACAATAAATCTGACAAAAATGTAGCTTCTCTTCCCTTAAATTTTCTCATATAAGTATTTTTTTGGCCTGTGAGGTTATATTTTACCTTCTCTAAAACAGCAAAAAACATTCAAAAACTGTATCTCCTACAAGTTTTTGTTCCTGTGCATTTATTATGCTCACAATACACATCTCCCTTCATAAAGCCTCTTTGTTTTCCTAAGAATATCACTCAGTTTGTATGCCAAAATCTAACAACCACATTTAAGACAGTTTCAGTGAGAATTTCTATTTGGGGGTATTTTGGAGTAACATGAGACACACTTACCTGCCCACTGTAAACTAGAAAACTGGACAAAATATATAAAACTGTTTTCAGACATTGAACAACAGGTAGCACAGGTATAAGAGCCCTAGAAGAAGGTAAACAAATGAGCTAAGCCCTACAATGGCCCTGGACTTCCATTTGGACAAACATTCCAGACTATGGTGCAAAGAGGGATCTTAAGAAGAACACAAAAGTCTTGGTAAATTACAGAGATAGAGATCAGAGTTCAGGGAGATTGAGGTGACCAGAGTTGCAGGACACAGTCCCAGAGAAGAGAGAGCTATGCAGAAAAACTGTTGAGTTATCTGCATATTGGCTTGTTTGTCTTTTTGCTGAATACCAAGACTGCACATGTGTAGAGTGAAACTCCAATAGCCTGGGAAAAGAAGAACCAGAGAATTGTAAGCAAAACAATTTCCAGAAGTCACACAGAACAGAGAGATGTACAAGTTTTGAGCAGCCAGAATAAGAGTTGTGGTTGATGCCAGGAAACTCAACCCTATTGAGAACTCAGAAAGAGCTAAACAGCTGCTAGAGAAAGGACTAGCGTAGAGACTAGCCCTAACAAAGTTGAAAGACAAGCCTCAAAAATATCAAGCTGATCCATCAAAAACTTAAATGCCTGCCAGGACACTCTGTAAGGGAAGACAAAAAAATCTAGACACTTATCAATCTAACATCCACACTGATGAGCACACAATGAAAAATTACAAGACATGTGATGACGTTGGACTAATTAGTCAATAGAAAAACACCTAGAGATGACAAGTGATAGAATTAGCACATGAGGACTTCAAAAGATGTATTTCAAATAACCTCAATGGGATTAAGGATGTAAAGGAAAACATTAACATAATGATAAAATAAATGAAAGACAAAAAAATTACCAAATGGCATTCAATAGTTGAAAAATAAAAAAACTGAATGTTAACCTCATGCAGTAAAAGTTTTAGGAGATTAGATGTTGGTAAAGACAAGATCAGGGAACTTGAACTTGAAGACACAGTAATAGAAACTATCCAAAATGAAGCACACAGAGAAAAAGATTAAGATTATGGAACAAAGCCCCAGTGGTCTGTGGAAAGATAACAAGTGATCTAAGATACGTGGAATTGGAGTGCCTGAAAAGGTGAAGACAGAAAAAAATATTTGAAGAAATAATGATGTAAAATGCTAAAATTTGGGGCCGGGCTGGTGGTGCAGCGGTGAAGTTCACATGTTCCACTTTGGTGGCCCAGGGTTCGCCAGTTTGGATCCTGGGCGCAGACCTACTCACTGCTCATTAAGTCATGTTGAGGTGGTGTACCACGTAGAAGAACTAGCAGGACCTACAATTAGGATATACAAATGTGTACTGGGGCTCTGGGGAGAAAAGAAACAAAAAAGTAAAGAGGAAGATTGGCAACAGATGTTAGCTCAGGGCCAATCTTCCTCAAAAAAAGAAAAAGCTAAAATCTAATAAAAGCTATAAACCCATAGACCCAAGAAGCACAATGAAACCCAAGCAGATAAAGAAAAAAGAACACCAAGCGGCATCATTATCAAATTGCTAAAAACTAGTGAGAGAAAGATCTTAAGAGTAGAAAGGTTAAAAAAGACATTAATACAAAGGAACAAAATAAAAACGACAGTAGAAGCTTATTTAAAAAAAAAATGCAAACCAGAAGAAATGATACAGTACTTAAAAAGTGGTGAATCCAAAAAAAACCAATTGCTAAGCCAGAATTGTATAACTGACAAAAATTTCCTTTAAAAATCGAAAGTGAAATAGATATTTTCAGAAAAACAAAAGATAAAAGAATTTATTGCCAGAAAACCTACATGACCATAAACAAACAAATATCTTCAGGTATAAATAAAATGATACTGGATGGAAACTTGGATCTAAACGAATGTAGACTTCCAGAAATGGAAATATAAGCAATATTTTTTCACATTTAAAATTTATTTAAAAGATAATTGACTGTTTAATGCAATAATAATAAAAAAAACTTGGAGTTTATAACATATATAGGAGTAAATATATGACAAAAAGAGCTGAAAGGATGGAAGGGGAAAATGGAAGCATTCTGTTGTAAGGTTATACACGAAGTAGTAAATTATCACTTAAAAACAGACTTCTAAAAATGCATATTGCAACCCTCAGAGAAACCGCTAAAAAGTAAAACAAAGATAATGAGCCCAAAATAGAGATAATAAAGACTAAAACTAATTAATCAAAAGAAGGCAGGAAAAACTAAAGAAAAACTGAAAAATTGGTGAAAAACAGAAAATAAATTATAAGATAGTAAGTTTAAACCCAACCATGTTGATAACTGTATCAATTGTAAAGGATCCAAACACTCTAACAAAACGCTAGAGATTATCAGACAGGATTATAAATCAAAACCCAAATATATGCTATCTATGAGAAGCCTACTTTAATTATAAAGACAAAGATAGGGTAAAAGTAGAAGGATGGGAAATGATATGCTCTACAAGTACTATTTATAAGAAAGCTGGAGTGACTATATTAATATCATAAAATGCATACTTCAGAATAAGTAATAATATCAGGGATAAAGAGGCATGTTTCAAGATGAAAGAAGTTAATGCACCAAGAAGACATTACAACCCTAAATGTAAAGGCATCTAACAACTGAAATTCAAAATACACGAACAGAAATGAAAGGAGGAATAAACAAACCCACAAGCACATTTGGAGCTTTCAAAGTTCTCTCTTAGTAACTGATGGAAATAGGAGACCAAAAATCAACAGGTATATAGAAGATATGAGCAAATACCATAAAAATATTGACCCTATTGATATGTATTGAACACTCCATCCAATAATTGTATATTATATTATTATTACATGTAGATAAAATATTTACCAGGATAGTCCATATTGTTGGGCATAAAACAAGTCTCAATAATTTCAAGGTATTGAAATTGTGGCGAGTATATTTTTGCACACAAGAGAATTAAATTAGAAATAAATGACAGAAGCAAATCTGCAAACACTTAAAGTTAAGACTCTTACAAATGATTATAAACTGTTCAAGGAGGAAATCACAAAGGTAATTAGAAAATATTTTGAAATGAATCAAAACAAAAACACGACAAAAAATTTGTAGAATGAAGATAAAGGAGTTTGCAGAAGGAAATTTATAACTTGTTAAATGCTTATATTAGAAAAGAATACAGTTCTAAACCAATGATTTAAATACCCATCCTAGCAAGTTAGAAAAAGAAATGCAAATTAAAACTGAAATAAGTAGAAGGAAAGAAAAACATATGGGTAGAAAGAAATGGTTTAGAAAACAAACAATAGAGAAAATCTAATAAAAGTTGTTTTGTTAAAAAAATCAATTGGCTTGATCAAGAAAAAAGAAGATAAATCATCAAAATAAAAAATGAAAAAGGAGCACACAGACACAGATGCCAAAGACATTACCAAGTTAATAAGGAATATTATGAACAACTATATGCTACTATATATGACAACTTAAATGAAACGGAGAAAGTCCTTGAAAGACTGAAATTACCAAAACTGACTGAAGACAAAAGAGAAAAATCTTAATAGCTCTATGTCAATTAAAGAAATTGAAGTAGTAATTAAATACATTACTACAAAGAAAACTCCATCTCTGATGGCTTCAGTGGTGAATTCTATCAATCATTAAAAAATAATGCAAAGAGCAAACAGAAAAAGAAAGAAACAATTTCCAATTCATTTAATGAAGCCAGAGTTACCCTAACATCAAAACCAGACAAACCTATCACTAGAAAAATAATCTGCAGATAAATATCCCTCATAAACATAGACGATGTTAAAATATTGAGGAAAAAGGAGGAAAAAAAAGACACTTTGCAGAGATAACCATAAGTCAGTTTCTCCTTGCCACCCGCTGACAAAGTCTCCACATACGGTCTTTATCAGCTGTAGACCAATTAAACCCATCAGTTCACAGGTATTCATAGACATAACACAAAAATGAATCTTCCTTCAGAAATCTAACATTTAAAGCTTTGAGATGGAACTAAGAAAGATAAAAACTAGAACCAAATTTACTGCTATCTTACGCTCCATTCCAGTGCAGATTTTAAGTAGTCTCCCCACTGGTATGAAAAACATGACAATCACCTGCATTTAAATGAGAGGAGGAGGAGAGTGTGATCCTTGATAACATGTGAGCAGTGGTATTCAATGAGTGTAGTGCTCACTTGTTTACTATTAAACAGCAATATGCTCAAATTATTTGCCTGATGGGCTATGGAAACTTTGTCCTAAACCAACAGAATATGTATGATGGCTTAGATTTTCATAAATATTTTTTCATCTTAACATAACTCATCTCCCAAAGTGACAATTTCTTAACAATTTAATGAGAACAAACCACAGTTAGATAACATCTCTATTTCTTACATTCAGATATGGCGGAAGTAAAGGAGTCAACGTGGGGCTCTGACAAGTCTCCAGATTCCTTAAATTGCCATGTGACAATACAACGTACCAAGCAAAAGTATCTATACAGTATTTTTTAAGATTTTTTTCACTGGAGAATGTATGTAATTTAACTTCCCAAAGTCTTTAATTTCCACACTGTATTATTAAATAGCAGCCTTCTCTAAAGGCACTTTGCTATCTAAATAGCAACTGAAGCAATTTGCATAAGATCAGAAGAGAAATAGGCAATTCTATAGTCCTAAGCGTCACCAGCAGGTCTGCCTTTCTTAAAATCCTCTCTGACCTCAACTTCATTGAGGCACATGCTTGGTCCCTGCCAGGTCAAGTGCCAAATAAATTCTTCAATTAAAGAAAAAATCATTTAAGGAACATTCATGCTCTAATGGCTGCAAGGTAACTTTCAAGAAACTATCTTCTTAACACCAAAACAAATACAAAGAAATCCTACCAATTAATTTTTAGAAGCTGTGAAATGCCCATCTCTAGAGTCAGAAGTTGGTAGTTGTACTACGGACATTTTTCTTTCTTAAAAAGAAAAGTTTCTTATACAATAGGTTTCATTACAGGAATGTATTGATTGAAACTAGTTTCATTGCCACTAATGTTCTGCTTAATTTTAAAGATAACATAATATTGAACAGAATAATGTGTTCTATTAATAACATTTTATTGAAAGAGTAAACTGATTTATTGCATATGTTTGTCCAAATAAGCACCCAGATCATTTGCCATAAATCTTCCTGAGTTTAAACAGAAGGCTGAGATGCAACTTGATAAAAATAAAAAGTTATCATAAAACATAATGAAAAATCCAATTTGAAAATTAAACAGTGCACTGCTCAGCTTCATGCTTTGTTTAGGGTCTGAAGCTTGCAATGCAGATGAAAGAGCTGGTCTAGTTTACTTAAAACGGCTATTGTGAGTCTTCATTTGGGAAAAACTATAAAAATAATTAAAATCTGTTAGAGGAAATCGGGCCATTTAGCTTCTGGGGCAATTCACTCTAATCTCATTGCTTGTCCACTTTAAAGTAAAATAGCTTATTTTTTATCGAAAAATACTTTTTAAATTGAACTTTATTTTGTGGGAGTGAGAAAGGGCAGAAATTAACATAAGACTTGCATTCACAAACTAAAAATTTCTCCATAGCTTTAGTTTTCAGTGAATCGATTCAAATCCATCCCTGTGTGTACGTGTATACACAGGAGCATGGGCAGACACCACCCAATTCTAGCAGGTGATATCTGAAAGGATGCCATCAGGCCAGTCCTCTAAGAAAGGTGATCCATACACCATTTGGAAGGCAATGTCTGGACTTTACAGCCAAGAAATAAGGTTATGTTCTACTACATACTTGCCACTGATTCTATATAAACTTCGTCAGTTATCTGTATCTGATTTCTCTCACATAGAAAGCTGTTAAAGATCTCTTTTGTATCATTTACCATTTAGAAAAAACCTTGTTTTCTGAATGTATGTATGGCATTCTGGATATTAGGAAGTCTGACGTGCTGTAATCTTTCGGATTAATTTTGCAAAAGAGAAGTTAACTATTTTCAAGAAACAGTAATGTTTGCAGCACAAATTTTAAAAGCAGTATTACAGAAACCACAATATAGATATTGGCTTTGATACGGGCTAGATTTAAGAGTTCAACATTTAAATAATCTGAATTTATTAACCAACACCAAATAGTGCAATTATACTCCTGTTTACAGAATATCCACCACCTGGGTAAATCCTTCACCTACTACATAACATACCATAATTTATTAAACAGTCTTTTACTGATGGAAATTTAGATATTGTGCTGACTAATGAGGCATGGCTCACTCCATCCTCCACATAATTGTAAAATTTGGGAAGCTACAAATCACATATTCCAGATTCCCTTGCAGCCAGGGCTCTGGACGTCAATTAGTTTCTGCCTATTTCACATGATTTTGGTGGTCTCCTTTTGTTTGTCTCTGCTGGCAAGAACACTGGTGAAAACATGAGAATTCTCTCCAGCAAAAACATCTCAGGGAACAATTTTCAGTTTTCTGGGTAAGAAAAAGCAGTTGTGGCAGCAGCAGAAGCACCAATGACTTATTGATCTGGCTTCCTAACTCCTAGATCTCACTGGTGGGAGTCTATTCTGTAGTTTCCTGGGTGTCCAGAGACCGTTACAGCAGCCAAAGATGCATTGCTCCTGATCCCAGCATAGCTCCAGTGATGGTCTCAGAGCATTGCTCCTCAAGGATATTAATTCTATATTGTTCTGAAGTCATTACTGGAAGTCCAACAAAAAACCTGCTTCTTCAGAACCTTTCAAAGCTTTTATTCCCAGTATTAAATTCATTTCTGCTTAAAACACCTAGAGTGGTTTCTGTTCCCCACAATGAACTCTGACTGACATAGTTTTGCTATTACTAACAATGTACTTATTTTTTTTCTTTTTCTAAATTAAGGTACAATTTATACATAGTAAGATTCACCCTTCTTAAGTATACAGTTCTTCAGGTTTTGAGAAAAGAATGCAGTCAGTAATCACCATAACAATGAAGATAGTTCCATCATACTAAAAAATTCCCCATGCTTTGTAGTC